ACATGGGAGCCCAGTAGATTCAAAGAACCCCAAATGGCAACAACCCTACTGGATACTCATTAAAAAGTGATTGCAAGGGACCAGCGGGTGGCATGGTGGTTAAGGCGCTGCCAACTGCTGGTCCCAAGGGTTATTGATTTCTATAGGAATTAGAGGGATGCAATTTTGGCAGCTGTGGAAAAGTAGTTAACTGGTTTGGCACAATGGCATGTTCCTACTGCTGGAATGTTTTTATGGATTAAAATTAAGGGCATTAATTATATAAAACAACTTCTTGAAGAAAAACTCCTTAAGAAAGAGATAGTAATGCCTCCTGGATATCTTTCTACATTGATAACTTAGCTCCTAGCCCTTATGTGAGAGTGTCCTTCTCTGCAGCTTCTCCTCAACACATGAATATGGCCTTCCAGATATTAGCGCAATTGATAAAAGAATCTTTATGAAGAAATCAAGCTAATCATACTACTTGTGGATTTTTCAGATAGATTATTTCTGTGTTTTGGCAGGAAGAAATGATCATTGATGTTAGACTTACAGATTGGATCTCATCAAGCATTTCATATCTGTAGTTTTTCAACTTGACAACTTTCAAAGTGCCTTTCAGTCCACCATATTGCTAAAATATATTTATAATCTACTTAGGCCTTTTGATATTTTCAAGCTGCAAGAACTATTTTAATCTTACATTTTATTCCAAAGAACTCTGGTTGCTATTTAATTTCTTAAAAATTTTCTTTGAAACTAATATTAAATAAATTTTGAAAGTTTAAGGATATAATTAAGTTTAAAATAGAATATGATGTGTACTTTTTCTTTTTAGGAAAATTTAATGAGTTTGTTACAAAAATTATTATAATTAGAACATATATTAATAAATGATTTTTAGTAAGAGTTAAAAAAAAATCCAAAACCTTCCCACAAAGAAAAGCTCAGGACCAGATGGCTTTACTGATGAATTCTACCAAAAATTTAAAGAATTACCACCAGTTCTTCTCAGACTCTTCTAGAAAATTAAGAGGAAAGAACACATCCTAACTCCTTCTATGAAGCCAGCATTGTATTGATACTAAAGCCAGAGAAAGACACTACAAGAAAATAAAACTACAGACCAATATGCAGTAACAATATTGATGTGATACTCTCAACAAAATACCAGAAAGCCAAATTTAGCAGCATATTAAAATGGGATTATTCCGGGACCAGCAGTTAGCGTAATGGCTATGTCACTGGACTCCCATGTAGTCAACCGTGGTTCAAGTCCCGGATGCGGTGGCTTAAACTCATGCCGGGCACGCGGGCGTGTGTGCCCAGGATCCCGAGAGGAGAATGAAGGAGAAGGGATTGCAGTGTGGCCATCCTCCCTGGGGGGTGATTTCTCTCTTTCTATCTCTCTATCTATCTCTGTCTTTCTGGCGAGCGCACGTGCTCTATAGCAAAAACCTCTTTAAAAAAATGAGATTATTCCTAGAATGCAAGGATGGTCCAAAGTAGAAAAATTAATCAATGAGGGCAGCAGATGGTGTTGTGGTTACATCATGGAACTCCTAGAGGCAAGATTCATAGGATCCAGTCAACTATGGTCAACTGCAGTTCTAATACCAGGCCTGGTGGCTTGAAAAATCATGCCAGGCACATGTGCATGCATGCCCAAGATCCCGGGAGAATACAGGAGAAGGATTGCAACATTGCCATTCCCCGGGTGGGGATGATTTCTCATTTTCTCTCTTACTGAGTCTGTCTGTCTCTCCATGAGCTCATATGCCCTAAGGCAAAAACTTCTTAAAAAAATCCATCAATGTAATAACTACATTAATAAAATATAAGAAAAAACACATGATAATCTCAATTGATATAAAAATGAATTTTACAAAATCCAAAACCTTTTATTTTAAAAACGCTCAATAGAGGGGCTGGCAGGTGGCATGGTAGTTAAGGGCATTGGACTCCCACATGGCCAACCATGG